AAGGCTATTTTGTAACTGGCTTCATTAAGCACAGGATGTGCCCAAACTTCTTCCTGAAAGTACGCTCCGTCGTCTTTGAAGATGTTATTGGCTCAATGAAATGCATTCATAAACCTGAAAACATGAATATGTTTTAACGTGCGTCATGAACATGAGCCACGTTCTGGCCCTTCAAAGCCTTCCTGCCCCCACCCACTCCCACCCCTTCATTTACTTCTTCGCCCTTTCTTTTAAATCTTTTTCTTTCATTAAAAAAAATTACTTATAACTTTATAGCAAGAATAGAGGTCTATAAGAAACTGTTATAAACTAAAGAGCTAAATACCAGAAAAAAAGGGAGGAATTTAGGAAACAGCACTGATTTGGACCAAAGCAGAGAGCAAGCTGTCAGCGGGCACAGGTTTGATTCTGTGGTTTCTGTCCCATGTGAAATGGACTTCGTAAGTAGCCAGTCATCTAATGCATCAACATGAATCTTTGAAATATCAGTAGACCTGGAACAAGCAGATGTTTGATCAAGATAAATAGGAGAAAGAGACACTATGAAGTTCTCCAACTGTGCAAAGGCAGCTCGGACAGCGGGGCAGAGCCGCGAGCTTGCTTGCATTGGACTCAGCTGCGTGCAGCTCCGCGAGGCGTGTTATCCAACGATGCTCTTTCAGACTCTGCCTCATCGAGGGGTGGGTAGATAACGGTCATGGGAAAGCTGCGGAGAGATTGCTAGACAGAGAGCTCGGAAAGATGTCCCAGCGGAGTAGGGTTTGGACCAGGATCTGTAAGGAAGAGATGCGCCGATCAGGCAGGAAGGATGTGGGAGGCTCTTTGAGCTGGGCTGGGGGGCGGACAGCAGAGACATCCTGGGGAACAAGAAGAGGTCAAGAGTGTCTGCTTGGGAAAAATGAGAAAAGGAGCCCAACGAGGTGAAGGGGATGAGGCTGTCACAAAGGCAGAGAGGAGGTGGGTCGTGGGGAAGAAAGGGAGTTGTGGCCGGGTCAGAAAGCACGGAGCTTGTTCGGGAAGCAGCATTTTGGCCTCACAACCCCGAGAGCACTGTAGTGCGGAGAGTGTGAATGGAAGCGGGCAGATGACACTGCAAGGTCTGTCCGTAAGCAGGTGTTCGTTGGGATTCAGCAGATGTTAGAAGCCTTTAACACAAACTAGATCGACACAGGGGAAGTGCCCTTCCCTTCCCCAGGGCTGACTCGGTGACAACAACAGGAATGAAAGACCAGTTCCAGAGCAGGGTTCTCACCTGGGGGTGACTTCACCCCCACCCCCAAGGACATTTGGCTATGTCTGGGAACAGTTTTGGTTGTAGGGATGCTGCTACTGGTATCTAATGGGGAGAGGACGGGTGTGCTGTTGACCACCCCACAACACTCGGGACAACCCCATGGCAAAGAGTCCTCCAGTCCAAATGGCAGTAGTGCCACAGATGAGGGTGATGTCAACTGATCGCTTGTGGTCCATGCCCAGGACACACACATACGGGGACTTCAGGCACCCGAGTCTGGGTGCAGGTGTCCAGGTGTTGAGCTATCACCTGCAGTCTGGAGAGTGACTGGATCGTAGCTGATGATAATAGTAGCTGCCAATCTGAGCACCCCGTGCTGGGCGCTGATCCCCATCCGCCTCTCCCTCATCTCTGCAGCAGTCCTGAGGGTAGGTCTCCCCAGCTCAGCCCCACACAGGGAGAAACTGACAGTTAGGAAACTACCGGGGCACATGGCCAGCCCCTCAGGAGGCCCCGCCAGGGTTCAGACCCCAGTTTCCACAGACCCTGCAACTATGCCTGTTATGATGAGACCGTTTCAAAGTGCACGGTGACACCAGAGCCACTCTGATCGGGAACACTTTGCCATGGAGAGAAAAGCATTAAGCTCTCAGCTGTGCTGTTTCACGCTATTTTTGTCTCTTCCAGAGGCTCAGAAATACCGTTGTTTTAGGTTTTATGAGGTGACACACACAAAGTGGTGGGAAGTCAGCCTGACCTCGGCTCTTGCTCTGACGTTGCTTCCCTCCCAGGTCACCCTTTCTTCTTCTGCATATCTAGCCAGGCGCCCTACCTTCCCAACTGCTCCTGGCTATTCTCTCTGCCCTCCTGGCACCTTGGACATGATTAGCCGGGTGCCGTGCCCTCGGCAAGCCTCTCATACATGTGAGCCGTGATTCCTGTTCCTCCTTTATTCCAGCCCATGTTGCTGTGTGAGGCTGTGCTGGTCACTTCTCTGTCTCCTCTGGGGACAAGGACCTCGTGTAGGCAGGGACTGTGTCTTCCTCATCTTTAAATCCAGCTCCCAGCACCTGGCTGACACTTGCTCACTAAATGTTTGTGGACAGACGACTCTGTTGGAAACTGGGCCCCGAGCACAAGGACTTGACGCAGGAGGCCTGGCTGGTGCTGTCATGTAGCACTTTTGCTTCTCTAGAGGGTTGGCACAGATCCTTCGAGGCCATAACTATAGAAACATCGGGGTTTGGCTACTTTGAGCATGGCGCTTTGCCACTGGTGCCAACAGAGACAGCGAGTCATGGTAGTTGTCAGAAGAGAAATGGACGGGCATACAGTTTTCTTTGCATTTTGACAAGCTTTTATTTTGTTAATTCTTAAAATTCAAAATAATAACCTGACAACAACTTAAAATGTTTACTGTTTCTGTATGTGCATGATAGGTATTATAATTTTATTATAACGTTTGTGCATGCTTATGTGTTATAATTTTGAAATAAAAGTGAATCTAAATAAAGAAGAGGAAAGGGAGAAGAGAAGAGAAAGAAGCAAGGTGTCATTCTAACCATAAGACACCTCATTGTTTCTAATGGAAGCGTATGGTTAGAACATTGAACCTGGAGGTAAAAAATAAACAAGTATGTCCTTGAGTCTGTAAGTAGGGTCTCTCTCTCTCTCCCCTTCTCTTTCTCTTTCTCTCTCTCCCTGGATTGATTCATACAGTGGAAAGTACAGAAAATGGTTTTTGTAATTCTTGGCTTGATAATCACCCTGGAAAATGATTTTGGAATGTTAGTGATTGTGAGAGATTGCTTATTCCAGGACTTTCACCCTGACCAAGCCCACGTCTATTTCTAAAGCATGTCTTATTTTTGGAGTTTATAAATCAAATGTATTGTAGGGATGGAATGCCTGATGAAATGCACCCACAACAAAAAGTCAGCCTTATCCAGCAGTCCCTACACAGCAGAAACCAAAGTGTAGCCACCAAGACTTTTCTGTACTCTGGACCCTTATAAATATATTTAACATGTGTTATTATTTTTATCAACTAGAAATCTACCTATAAAGAAAATTTGGTTATGTGAACAAATATACAGCAGGAGAGACAAAAACCAACACTTAATTGTTATTCCTTCCAACATTTGAGATCACAGGTTTTAAATATGTAAAGCCCACTGGAAATACACAAACGTTTAAAATGAGCATGCACGTGAGAATAAGCAGAAGAAAGCAGTTCATTAGCGTAGGATCGCCTGCATATCTACAAAGAGAGTGTGTGTGTGCCCTCGGTGAATTGCCTACCCTCTCTGTAACTCTGCAACAGCACAGCTGAGAGGCCCCTTCCTGCTCTCACATGTACACTTTCTTTTTCCCACTTCCAGGTCTGCTAACCGCCTCTTAAGTTGTCCGTATTTTACATACCGCTGACCCTGTAGCCATCTGGAGGGGTTTTGTTTTAGACATGAGCCCAGTGGGGATCTTTCTTTTATTGTTGTATTTTTCAATTACAGTTCGCATTCAACACTATTTTGTATTAGTTTCAGGTGTACAGCACAGTGGATAGATAGTCATATAGTTACACAGTGTTTCCCCCCAATAATTTCAGTACCCACCTGGCACCATACACAGTTATTACACCATTACTGACTATATTCCCTGTACATCCCCAGGACTATTCTGTAACCACCAATTTGTACTTCTTAATTCCTCCACCCTTTTCATCCAGTCCCCAACATCCCTCCCGCCTGGCCTCGGTCAGTTTGTTCTCTGTATCTATAAGTCGGTTTCAGTTTTGTTTGCTCATGCATTTTGTTCTTTAGATTCAAGCGATATCATGGTGGGGACCTTTAAGTTGGCGGCATAATGAAACCAGCTCCCGGGGAAGCCTCGCTGTTCAGAAGGGACCAGCTTGATCACCGATGATTGGACACCAGAAACATGATGGAAGGTCTTTCCCAGGTCTTTGCTGATGACATTCGAGGCCGAAAGATCCTTTGATCCTTGTCCCCCTCCCAGGGACCCCATCCACGGGAGACCTTCCACTGCCCATGGCCTTCCCACGTCCTCACCTTGACCCTTCGGCTGCTCACCACAGCAGATTTAGTCCCCTGCCCTGGTCACATCTCATTCAAATACCTTTAAACACATCGTGTGGCCTTCATGGGGGCCCTTGTGACTTTATTTCTTGGAAAGTTTTTAGGTCTGTTAGTTGACTGGTTGTTTGGAAATGACAGTGTCCAACAATAATCTCAGAACATCTGGTTTCTAAACATAGTCTTATTATTATGGGAAAAAACCCCAACAATTATGTGTTTCAGTTTGCCTTAATTTACTCATCTGGAAAAATGGGACATAGTCATAACTTTTGCTTCCTCACTCAGATATTCTAGGGTAGAATAAGATCAATGTGTAAGAGGTCTGAAAAGTTCTTGCTAGGTATGATATCAATGTAAAGTAAAATCCCACAATGGAATGAATGTTCGAACGATCTCCAAGAAATATATATTTCTTTTTATCTTCACCCGAGGACATTTTTTTCATTTTTTGTTCTGATAGAGTGGGAGGGAGAGAGAGAGAGAGAGAGTGAAACATCGATGCGAAAGGGACACATCGAGTGGTTGTCACCCGCACGACCAACCAGGGCCGGGGACAAACTGCAACCGAGGTACGTGCCCTTAACGGGAACCGAACCCGGGTCTCTCTGGTCCGCAGGCCGACGCTGAGCCAAACCGGCCAGGGCTCCAAGAAATATTTTTAAATGTGCGCGATGCCTCTTTGTGTCGAGTGCCGGATAACGCTGAGCTTTCAGATCGGAGGTGAACGGTGGGAAAGAACCCGTCCTCTCCTGCCTTTCCACCCCGGTCTCTCCTCGACCAAAACATCTGGCGACACTTTGTAGTTCTGGCTGACCTGATTTGGAATTCATTAGTAATAATTGACGTGCTCTCTGGAATTTGTTTAAACAGTTAATCGTGAGGTGAGCAGTTAGGCCGGAAAGGATTGTTCAATGGAACCTGCCACCCTGGTGGAGCTGAGGTTGGCGGGGACCCGTGCTTGGTGCCTGAGGCTTCCAAAGGCCCCCTCCAGCCCTGCCCCTCACCCCACGGGGGTGCCAGGGAGCCTGTCTGCCAGGGGGCAGCTTTGTTTCCTTGTCATGTTTGTTTTAAGAGCTCCCTTTTGGCAGAGTGGTGAGAACAACCAAAAATACTTGTGCTTAAATGACTACAGGTGATGGGGCCACATGACTACAGAGAGCTGGGAATTAGCATTTAAGAAATTTAAAATCTAGAAATCTGGTGGGGAAAGTTTCCACACAGGCAACTCTGAGCAAAGTGGTGAGGATTACTCTGAGGCAGCTCTGGACCGGGGCTCTTCACCGTTTTGGGGGACGTCTCCAAGACCCTGATGAAAGCCGTTGACAGATGTGACAGATGCATGCAACACATGTATGATATGTGTATGAATGTGTTCACGCGTGTCTGTATACCTGTGCACTTCCACTTGGCACACCATGCCAGGGGTCCACGGACCTCCTGAGATGCATCCAAGAACCCAGGTTAGGAAGCCCTGGCAACAGTGATGGTGAAATATTAAATTTCATGTCGCTTATGAATCTTGTTAAAAATAACAGAAACTCGTCTTTTTCATAAGCTTCATTTAAACTATTTGATTCCATGGTGCATAAAATTACTGTGTCAAATCATTATGAAAGTTTCGAAATGTGTATACTCTCAGCTTCTGGGCTCAACCTGTTAGGGATCCAGAAGGAACGCTCTGTGGGCTGGGTGGGGCCGTGGGTCACGGAGCAGTTAGCCCTGATTAGACCACGGCTCTTGCTGCCTGTTCAGGGACAGCACACCCACAATTTCCTTTCTCTCTCCTCAACCATCAGTTTTCCCCTCTCCACCAGGCGAGTATCATCAGTATTCAAACACACCACTAAGGAAGCTCAGTTCAGCCCTGGCCTGTGTGGCTCAGTGGTTAGACCCATGCACTGAAGGGTCTTGGGTTTGATTCCTGGTCAAGGGCATGTACCTGGGTTGCAAGTTTGATCCGGGCCCAGGTTGAGTGGGTGCAGGAGGCAACCAATCAAGGTATCTCTCTCACATTGATGTCTCCCCCCACTTTCACTCTCTCTAAGAAAAAATGTCCTCTGATGAGGATGAACAAAAAAACAAACAAACAAAAAAAGCTCAATCCAAACTGAATTCATCGCAAAGGGAATTAATTGATACTATGTCCACATAAAAACCTGTTCAAGCATTGAAAAGGCTATGTAGCCCTAAATAGTTTGACAACATAGATTACTTTAATGCAGCATTGCTCAATACTAGATAATTCGTATTCTGAACACCGCGTATACCTTTCTAAAAATTAAGCTCAGTCTTTTACATAACAACTATGTGAATGTCACACTTAGGAAAATGTAACGGTAATTCCTTAATATTGTCTAATATTCTCATTCCCCCAACCATCTCCTTGATGTTTCTTTACTGTTGGTTTTTTAATTTAGGATCCAAAACAGGTTCACACATTGCATTTGTGTGCTCTGGATTCTTACTTAGTCTCAGTGGTTTCCTCCCCATCAACACACACACACAGACACACACACACACACACACACCATTTTTACCCCATGCCATTGACTTGTTGAAAAGATGGGTCAGGTACACTGTAGAAGGTCCTACATTCTGGATTTCTCCACTGGCTTCCTCGTGGTCTATCTCTTGTATTTCCTATAAACTGGAAGTTAGGTCTAAGGGCTCGATTCAATTTGGGTTCATACTTTTTGGTAAGAACACTTGATCATGATGCAATGCGTTCAGAGCACATGATATCCAAGGCACCATGTGACGCAAAATGATGAATGGGTTCAGTTAGTGACAACTTCATCCCTCCCAGTAAAGATACACTTCCCCATGTATGACCAGCAAATCCTTCGTGGGTTGATACAAAGTGCCATCAACTATCAAACAAGGGCTCCCCCTGCTATGACTAATGTTTGACTTGATGTAACTTCTCATGTGGAATGTTATTTCTTTTTTTTTAATCTTCATCTGAGGATATTTTTCCATTGATTTTTAGATAGAGTGAGGGAGGGAGAGAGAGAAACATTGATGTGAGAGAGATATATCAATTGTTTGCCTTCCGCACAACCCTGACAGGGGCCGGGGATCAAACCTGCAACTGAGGTATGTGCTCTTGACCGGGAATAGAACCCGAGACTCTTTGGTCCATGGTGACACTCTAACCACTAATGAGCCAAACCGACCAGGGTGGAATGCCATTTCTTTTAACTTCCCTTGCCAAGCACATGCGATATTTCTGAATTGATTGGAGCCTCCAGCCCCTCCCCGCTCCCAGAAATATGATGGAGAGAAATTCCTGGAGGAGCCGGGCCAGCTTTCGCTTTGGTGAGAACCAGGTCTCCGCAGTGTGCAGCACAGGTTCCTAGAACTCCCCGTCCAGACCACAGAACCGGCCCTGGCTGGTTTGGCTCAGCGGTTAGAGTGTCGGCCTGCGGTCCACAGAGAGCCGGGTTCGGTTCCCGCTAAGGGCGTGTACCTTGGCTGCAGTTTGTCCCCGGCCCTGGTTGGGTCGTGTGGGTGGCGGCCACTCGATGTGTCCCTTTCACGTCGATGTTTCTCTCTCTTCCTCTCTCTCCTTCCTGCTCTGTCTGAGTAAAAAGTGGAAAAATGTCCTCGGGTGAGGGGAAAAAAAAGACCACAGAACTAGGAAAACCTTGCAGAGATTGGCAAGACTGGAGGTTTGCTTTTCGTTTTCCACAAAGCAATGTTCATTGTCAGAAGTCCAATAGTTTTCCTTTTTTCGTTGTATTTCATAGTTGTATTAGCTCTTTTTCATCTCTTTCTCTTTTCCTTGCTTGTGGAACTCCGGACCACTTCCTTTTCCTTTGGGCAACCAAGCATCATCACCAGGGAACCACGTGTTCTGGGGCTTACAGATTCATAACGGATACTGTGGAAAGATCTGAGAGGCCCGAGTGTAGATTATTTTAGGACACACCTTGGGTGGAGGCAGTTTCTATGTTGCTGGTATTTTAAGTAGTTAACTTCCTTTTGGAATTCCAAAAATGTACCCTTTTGATTTTGTGAAATAAGTTATGACAATGGTAAGAGTAATCAGAAATTATGATTTTCAACTGTGTTATTGAAAAAGAATTTAAGTAACTAAGAAAATTTAAAATAAAAATAACAGTGTTATTTATAAGCCTCTGACAAACAAATTTACTGTAAATCTAATCATCTCTGAAGCTTTCCAAATACAAAAGAATCGCGGAATAGCAGTTTCGAGGCATCTTCAAGTCATGGAGTCTAACCATCATCTTTCTTTCTCAGTTACAGTTGACACTCAGCATGATTCTGTAGTCGTGTCAGCTGTACAGCACGTGGTGAGACGCCTACTCTAACCATCCATCTTATCCACGGCTCCCACGTTCCACCGATAAAGGCTCCAGCAGTCCCCGCTCAGCCCTTCCAGGGCCGGAGCCTCCCTGTCTCAGGCTGTCCCTGCGCCCACACTGAGCGCCTGCAGTGTGCCAGCTGCTGTGCCAGGGGCCCGATGACTCTGAGAGACACCTTTATGGGTACAGAGAATAGGGGGACTGCAGAGATCCTTGAACAGCCCTGGCCGGTTTGGCTCAGCAGTTAGAGCATCGGCCTGTGGTCCAGAGAGATGTGGGTTCGGTTCCGGCTAAGGGCATGTACCTCGGTTGCAGTTTGTCCCCGGCCCTGGTTGGGTGATGCAGGTGGCAACCACTCGATGTGTCCCTTTCACGTCGATGTTTCTCTCTCTCTCTCTCTCTCTCTCTCTCTCTCTCTCTCCTTCACACTCTATCTGAACAAAAAATGGAAAAATGTCCTCGGGTGAGGATAAAAAACAAAAAGAGAGATTCATGAACAAAGCGAGATGATTCTTGATGCGAACAGTAGAAACAAAACACGCACCAACAGTTGTTACAGCATACTTACATGATCGGTCTCATTCTACGTTCTGAGAAACAGCATTTCACCATTCGGGTCATGTTACATCGACCCACATTCCCTGCGGAAAGGTGTCATGATCTAAATCTTATAGTGGTTAAGGTGACCCTGAAAAATATGGTCGTTTTCCCAGTTTCTGTTCTCTCGGCTCTCCATCTGGTCTTATAAACAATGATTCTGAGGACTTTGTGGGACTCCTGAGAGCCCGGTGATGGTCAGTGTGTCTGTGTCCTTTCCTGGCCCGAGTATAACCCTGAGCATGGGCCGTGGACGCCACAAGGCAACCTGCGGGCGTGGCTGTCTCAGATCCCGTCAGCCCGGGAGACAAGAGGGGGAGGGAGAGACGCCGGCTTGTCACTCAGGGCAGAGGAAGGACAAGGCAAGTGCTCCCCCGTGCTGACCATCTGGGGCAGCCCCCATTTCTCTCAGGATCAGGAAGATGTTGTCCCGGGAACGAGACTGCTGATCTTGTTCATTGACACGGAAGTTATGGCTCCCCTTGTCCTTCGGGGGCTAATTCCTTTCTGCCTTCTCTCTCCGTTCTTCCTTTCCTTACCCTCCCCTGCTTTCTGCTTCCTCCCCTCCTCTCTCTGTGTCTCTCCTGCTCTCTCTCTCATCCCTTCCCCACTTCCCCTGTGGATAGAAGAGCACCCTGGAATTGATCTGGGGGCCGAGATAAAAGTCTGCAGCAGCATGAGGAGGACAGAACTCGGGGCAAAGGCTCCGGACCCTGCACTGTCTTCCCAGCGTGGCCGTTAACCCCTGTGACAGACAGGATGAGAGGAACGCTGTGACTGCATTGAAATCGCCGA